AATTTTACTATTAATCACTTTTTCCAAAATCACTTCAAAAAATAATTTTGTAAAAGCAAAAGCATTTGTAAAGGCTCCTTTAGTCAGCTTGTTATCGTTAAAACTAATATAATTACTTTTCAAACTTAGTTTAATTTGAATTTCTGAAACAGTCCATAATAATGATTCATACAACAATGAAATAGTCATGGGGTGGTAGGTGAAAATGTGAGTAAGGATAATGGTCCATAACCATTGTGGGTGGGGACGAAGACTAATGCCAGTGTAAATTGAGTTATTATGAGGCCGTTTAGCAACACTGTTTTTTTGGCTTATCAGGCTTATTAGCCAACTTTTTCACCAAACACGTAACTTTTGCTTTCACGCGCTGAATTAGTAATTAAGTGCGAAATCCGGTTCTAGGAGCCCTTTGTAGCCGACGGCGCCATGGCCGACGGCACCATGGCCGACGGAGACCCGGCTGACGGGGGCACCAGGTTCTCCTGACTTCTGGACCACATTCTGAGTTGATATCTTTCTGGCCAATGAAGAGCCATCTGGCCGACGGAGGCGCCACTGGGTGACAACTGTGCCTCTTATTCTTCCGAGTATGTGGGTCCTGGGGTCCAGACCCATATACTCCATCAAAAATATATTTTAAAATTATTTTTTTCTTAAATCGACAGAATCAACCAATGTAGCCATTCAGCCAGAACTTCATAAATTTAATCAGAATCAACCAGATAAACGATTTTCGTGCTACCAAACGGGCTTTATGTATATTAATCTAAGTTCAAATGAGATTGTTTTTACATTGTGCACACTTTTGTTTCCTTTTACATGCTACCGTTAGTATTTAGGGAAAATTTCTGAAATAAGAGTAAAAAATTTTGTAAATTCAAAAATAGGACTGCCATGTTTTTATTCTGAAAATAAAAATAATTAATGCCAAATTTGAAAAATATTGTAATGTTTAAAGTCCCGTATTGTCAAAACACGGCATTAATTAGTTCTATTTTGAAAAATATTGCAATGTGTAGTCCTATTTAAAATAATTTTCCTAGTATTTATTGGTCAATGATATATCAATTTGACTTAATATTTTTTATAACAATATTTATATATATTAATTTTAATTGCATATAAAACTTTCCACATTTTACTAGTAAACGTGTTGATGTAATAATGTAATTTTAAATGTGTACAAATACATATACTACTATTTTTCTATTGTACAAAAAGAAAGGATGACATTTCATCTTTAAGGAACATGAGAGTCCAAGAATTTTGTGACATTTCATCTTTAAGGAATATTCTAACAATTATGCATGATATAAATTAGAGAGAAAACTATCAAATAGGTCCATGTACGATACAAAAAACGACAATTAAGTTCTCGTACTATACAAACTCCCAATTAAATCCCCAAACTAGTGGTGGGCAAAATAACCGAACTGGCATGATACCGAACCGGACCGGTATGGTACCAGACCGGAAAACGAGATTTCAAACGGTTTTCAAAAAATTTATCTCGAACCGGACCAGACCGATTCCAAGCCATGTCATGACCGGTTCTCATAAAATGAGAACCGGTACCGGACCGAACCGAACCGAACCGAACCGAATTATAATTTTATTAATTTATATAATTTTATAATTATATATACATGTATACCATATTACCATTAATTACTTTGATTACTCATTTGCACTTTGTTAATTGCTAGTTAACCGGATCGGTAAAAATGAATACTATTATATGGAATTCATTAACTATGTTATTGCTAGTTATTTGTGTTTTGTACTATTATAGTTTATAAGAAATTCATTAACTATGTAATACTACCTCTCTCCCAAAAAACTTTTCCATTTTCAAAACTTTGGCCAATTATATTTTTTATTGAGAATTATTTATAATATAAAAATTATATGAAAATGTTCTTTGTTAAAAATACTTTCATAAAAGTATAAAATTTATAACTTTCATAATACTCTATACTAATCAAAATCATGGTTCAAATTTTTTGAAATGACAAAGTTTTTTAGGACGAAGGTAGTATGAAAACTGATAACTGTGTGGATTTTGGGATGATGACTAAGTTTTAATTTATCGAAAAGTGGCATTGTTTGATATTGGTATGACATGATACCGGACCGTTTGAAAATGAAACCAAACCGAACGGGTTTAGGTTTAAGACCGAACCGAACCATTTCAATAGTAACGGTCCGGGTACGGGTTCGGTAAAATATTGGACCGGACCAGACCGCGTCCACGCCTACCCCAAACTATCAAAATACACCCAATTTAGCTTTTTATCTGTACAGGTTAGCCGGTTGAAACGCTGTATTTCCATGTTTGTATTTCTTTAATTTTTTCTTTTATGAGAATCTTGAAACATTTTTCAATTGTCCATGGACAAAGAAACCTTCCGCCTGAGATGAGCAATCGGAGTGAGCAAAAGTGTGCGGCGGCGGTGCTTTGTTGATCGAAATCCATAGCCCTTGAGCTGAAGAACAACGAGGTAGATTCCTCACACAAAAGGGTCTAAAAATTTTGCATTATCGAGAGTTTACCAGTAGATCTATTATCTATATATCGAAGGTCAGGTCGGAAGTTTATGTGAGGCGCCGTCGTACGGGTTTTGTTGATGGTGCATCTCCTTTGAAATTAAAGGGATGGAGATGTGTATATATTCTTGTGGTGATTCCTTTGTAGGCAAGGGTGTTCCGGTGGTTATGCCTTGGAGGAATAGCTAACGGTTGTTGATGTTTTTCAAGGAAAATTAAATTCGAAGAAAAAGATTGAGAGAGAAGAAGAGGAAAACAACAGTTGAGAAATAAATTTGCAGAAACAAAAACACAAAAAAATGATAAAGAGGACGAAGAAGACGATTGAGTCATTGAAGCGGAAGATCCCACATGGATTTTTTATAAAAAAATGTCACCTCAATACCCACGTCAGTGTGCAACCGGCTAACTTATTACTGACTCGCTAAAAAGTCAAATTGGGTGTATTTTAATAGTCCGAGGGTTTGATCGGATACCGTATGCTGAGTTGGTCGAGTGATGGAAAAATTGGATTAAATGACCAAGGTTTGGAACCCGCAGCGGTCGTGCAGAGGTTACAGAACCTGAAATAAGGTTGGACCTTTGGTGCGCAGGTATATAAGGTCTACCGTCGCTCATGCCCGTTTTTAGGGGGTTCAATAGGTTATCCAGAATAGGGCCCCCAAATTTATGGGCCCCCAAATTTTTAAAATTTTATTAATATTATGTAGTAATATTATATATTAATCGGTAAGATATCCTTACTAAGGAAGAAATATATAGATGCATCATTTTTTGCGTTGGTCTTTTTACTCTTCTAGTTTTCCTCTTTTAATCAATATTCAATTGATTTGAGTATAAGTATTTAGATTGAGATTTTTTTCAATTGTTTATATTAATGTGGGGCCTCGATTTTATATTTTGAATCGGGGTCTCCAAATTTATTAGACGCCCCTGTCGCCGCTTTGCTGACTGAGTCACCGTGATTAACCTCCCCACCATCCTGTCGGGTCGGGGTGGGGGGCTCCTGGGGTGGGAGATTACACATTTTGGACCAAGGGTTTGATTGGATGCTTTTTAAGTGCAAGGGCTCAATTGGTGTTTTCAATACAGTACATAAATTTATTTGACAGTTTTCTCTAAATTAAACTTTGATCACATATTGGTGAAAAGCTTGAGATTTCATTTTAAGTCTTTATTTAAAATCAAAATCAAGATCTATCCCTTTGTGATACCATCTTCTCCCTCTTCTCCCCATTCCCCAATCCCCATTGAGCTATGCTCTGGCTCTAGTGTTTGATTATATCATTATAGAATTTCACAATTAATACACACACATAGAGAGACCCTTCCCTATTGGCTCATATTTGACTTGAGAAAAGATAAAGAAAAAAAGAAGATCACTAAACTTGGTAAATAAGTTTAAGTCTGAGGACAGAATGTAGTCAGCTAATTCTAGGATCGAATTGGATATTTCTTTAATAGTCTAGTAATGAAGTGTTCAATTTATAGTATATGTTCAAAATCTACCATGACTACTTGACTAGAGTTATTACACAATTTTGAACATAATATTATATAGTGGACACTATATAATATTTTTAATAAATAAATCTCAATACTCCCAAATCTAGTAGACTTACAACATATTCCATACTAAAATGACACTGAATCAAGTAATTTTTATTCATTTTTTATAAATAAAGTATATAGAAATTGCTCTAAATAGGAGAAAAAACGTTTTGAAATTCTAAAATAGGAGTATCATGTTTTTTATTCCCTGAATAGGAGTAATCTGTCAAGTTTGGAAAAAAATGTCATGTTTTAAAACCTAGTAATGCCAAACTTGGCAAAAATTTACTCCTATTCAGGGAATAAAAATATGATACTCCTATTTTGGATTTTCAAATTTTTTTTACTCCTATTTAGGGAATTCTCTCTAAAGTATACTCTGTATGTATTCAGTACTACATCCGTCTCAAAAAACTTTGTCCTTTCAAAAAACTTGAAACATGATTTTGATTAGTACTCCCTCCGTCCCTTAAAACTTTGCCATATTTCTTTTTTGGGACGTCCCAAAAAACTTTGCTACTTTCTCTTTTAATCAATTATTTTGTGGTTTCTGTTATTTCTCTCTCCTCTGCACAAACCTCAACCACACATTTTTTACTTTATTATTCTCCGTGTTGGTCAACATTGACAAAGTTTTAAAGGACGGAGGTAGTATAATATTTTGAAAGTTATAAATTTTCAAATTTTTTTGAAAGAACATCCATATACTTTTATGAAAATACTTTTAATAAAGAACATTTTTCATAAAATTTTTATACTATACATAATTTTCGATAAAAAATATAATTGGTCAGAGTTTTGAAAGTAGTATTATATTATATTGGGAAAAGGGCCAAAATGGACACTGAGGTTTTTAATGAAGAGCGTATTGGACATTAAGGTTTTTTTGAGATCAAATAAACATCAAATTAAACTTTTCAGACCTCATCGCCCACCCCCTAACATTTCCCGTTAACATCTTCTCTTCCCCGTTATCACCCATGCGATTACAATCTCCCTAATTGAAATTTCTAACCCTAACTCACTTCCATGGCTAATAAGTGTGAGATTGTGCGAGTGAGTTGAGAAGATTAGAAGGTGTTCAACTGCACGACCAAGGTTACAATACGTACGACTAATCTGAGGTAATCTTTGAGTGTTGTTTTTGTTTGTTACAATGAATGGGTTGGTTAATCTCAGATTTAACCATAGCGGGAGGTGGGTTATGAAACCAAAGTTACAGTATGTGAATGGGGACGCTGATACAGTTTATGGGTTTGACCCTGATTATATGTGTTATCATGACATTTCAAGAAAATACAAGGATGACTTGGGGTTTAAAACACTGAAAAATATATATGTTTTAGAACCTGGAAAGGATTTGGACAATGGACTTTTCTTAGTTCAGGATGATGACACTATAAGGAAAGTGTTAAATCGTATAAGGAGATTTTCTTGGATTGATACTATAGAGCTATATGCTGACCATCAACTGGACGAACCCATTTTGATTCCCCTGATAGAAGGTTCATTTTCTGGAGCACATATGAAGAAGAGCTGCAGCTGAATCTTAAAAAGCTTGGAAAATTGAGCACTGAAGCTGCTTCTGACCTTTTGAAGTATCCAGTTCAAACTTGGTGTAGAGCATACTTTAGTAATAGGTGTTCATGTTGGATGGTTGATAATAACATCACAGAGTCCTTCAATTCATGGATCCGGGAAGCTAGGTCAAAACCTATTGTAACCATGCTGGAAGATATACGATTGAAGGCAATGAAAAGAATTTCAGAGTTCAAGACAAATCATGATAAGTGGATAAACGATTGGTCTCCCTTATGCATGGAGTACTATCAAGACAATAAGGAGGCTGCTAGTGATTGCAATGTTATATTTAATGGGGATGTGGGCTTTGAGATTGGAGAGGGGACAGATAAGCACACAGTTGTGTTGGATAAGATGGTCTGCACTTGTAGAGCATGGGAACTGACTGGAATACCATGCTTACATGCCATATGTGCTTTCTATTACAGGAAGGTAGATCCTATCACCTACATTTCAAGATGGTATCATAAGGAGACTTATATGGCAGCATATGCAAATGCTTTGCAACCGGTACCTGGAAAAGCTTTCATGAAGGTTGATGATTATGAACCCATTTTACCTCCCCCAGTGCCAAACCTACCTGGCAGACCAAAGAAGAACAAGGTTAGATCATCTACTGAGGTCAAAGGATCTGGAAGTGCTTCTACATCTGCCAGTGCTACACCTCAGACATCATCAAGAAAAGGGAGACTACAAACTTGTGGGATATGCCATAAGGAGGGCCATAAGAGAGCTACATGTCCTAATAAAGATAAAGATGTAAGTAGTACATGACTTTGAAGATGTAAACTGCAATATTGATTTATTGTGTTTTCATGACTTTTTTTATCTGTTTCTTAGGCAAGTGTTCAAGGAGCAGAAGGGAATGGACCTATACCTGTGAAGAGACCTGCTAGTGTTGCTTTTTCAGAAATTCCTACCACTACAGAATCAGCTCCACCAACAAATCCACACACTAATGCTAAAAGGAGTACTGGTAAGTCTAAAGTGACATGTAGAAGAATAGGAAGGAAGATAAGTAAACAATCTGTAACAGGCTTTGGGTGCCATGTGGATGTGAACACTGGGGAGAAGACTTTAAATGTGAGTATCAATAGGTTTCCAGTGTTATGTAAGTGGTTTAGTTTGTTGATGTATTGAAATAAGTTTTCTTATTTCTAATTTTACCTTCATGTACTTGTTTATGCTTGTAGCCTGGGATGAGCAGTGAGGAAATAGTTTCAGATTTCCAACCTGAAATGCCACATGACCCTGATGTTACAGTCAGATTTGCAATCCCAAATGAAAAAGATATCGGAGGAGCTGCCCGGACTGAGAAGCAGTTGGATGTGCCAACATATAGAACAATACCTTTCAAGGGTGATGGTACAGAGGTGCATAATCCAACAAACCTATCTTTTCAACCACCTGGTTTGCAATGGAATGGGAATGCAGCAATCAGCTCTAAGCAGTTGTTACAGAAGATGCAGATCAGGAGGTCGGGTTCCATTCCAAAGTGATGAATGAAGACTCATATGTTTCATTAGAACACTTTTGGATGCAAATATGGATGAATGAAGACTCATATGTTTCATTAGAACACTTTTGGGCACTTTGTATTTATTAGCTTATTAGCTTTTTGGCAATGTAGTCGTTTGAAGACTCACTGGAAGTTTAGGTGTTTTGTATGAAGTTTCAGTACTTCTGGCAATATAAGGAACTGACTGCAATTATGGGGTGCTAAATTAGGGCTTATAATGCTTTTTTTGTATTTTGTAACCTCATTAACAATCAGTATTATGATCCCTAATGATGTGAAGTTATGATATAACATCTTTTTTTGTTTATATATGTTGTTTATTCAACCAGACCATGTTGGCATGAGGGCTTTCTTCTACAGATTGTATTGTGGTTATGGTATTGGCTCTGATTTCAAACTGCTCTCAAACTGGTGTTATCAGTACACTACTTCATTTGTGGTGTTATCAATACACTGCTCTCAAACATAGTAATACAACCAGACCAACTTATTAAAAACCAAACCAAAGTGTTAACTTAAATTCAAATTCTAACACCAACATGTATTCAAACTGTTTACAAGGTCATAACCAAACCATTTTACAAGAAACTGAAACTAACATACTAACACACATAATACTACAATAAGGACACATAACAACACTACAATAACATAATTATTCTTCATTTTAGTTTTGCTTTCCAATTCCAGATGGGCTGCATCATTCATACTGTTGACTTCTTCAAGTTCACTCTCCAACTTTTGAACAACACTATCACATTCCAATTCAAACATTGCAGATTGGAGCCTCCTATTCTCCCGTTTCAGCTCATTGATAACATGCCTTGCTCTGTCCGTTAATGGCTCATCATGCCATTCAAAGAAGCCACATCCATCCTTCTGAGTATACACAAGAGTATGAATATCAATATGAATATAAATAAATTATACATATTCATGATCTTCTCCAGTTCTCATATGTGAAAAGAACAATTAAAAGCATACCTCATAATTAGGACATCCATGAAATCTTCTCCCTGGATTCTTGTCAGTCCATGAAGTCCAAAGTGGCGCCTTGACGCGAGTTCCATTTGCATTCATGCATCTGCAAAACCTAGAACGCTCAGAATACGGTCGCTCATAGATGCTTCGAAGCTTCACTGAATCACCGGACTCAGATTTCCGTGCCTCAGACGACCTCGATGCTGAAGGACTAGCCGACATCACTGCTTTCTTCTTCATAATCTGTCTCAGATTGTATTTATTAGGTATATATCAATTAGGTCTAATCGCAGGGTGATAACGGGGAAGAGAAGATGTTAACGGGAAATGTTAGGGGGTGGGCGATGAGGTCTGAAAAGTTTAATTTGATGTTTATTTGATCTCAAAAAAACCTTAATGTCCAATACGCTTTTCATTAAAAACCTCAGTGTCCATTTTGACCTTTTCCCCTATTATATATTTTTTAATTAGATTTAATGAAACTTTCATTTTTTATTCATTTTTCCGGATTTAATGTCCATATATATTCCTCTACGTGAGTTGAATATTTCCCGGCGAACCCCAGAATATCAGTTGATCGAAGTCGGTTAAGTTCGTCTATAACTCCATGATAACTTGGCGGCAACGGTCTAAAGAAGCGATTTATTGAAAAGCCTTTCAATGGGTGTTCACGGTTTGTGGGAACTGTTGGCTCCAGTCGGCCGCCGGGTATCGGTTGAAACCCTGGTGGGGAAAAGGCTCGCAATCGGTATTCTACTCGTTTACCAGTTGTTTTCAGACGATGAATTTGAACTCACATTCTTTCTGGGAGGATATAAAGTAATTTTATTTCTTCCTGTGTATAGATGCGAGTATATGGATGATACAGTTCATGAAGGCGATGCGGGAAGAGAAGGGGGATATGGTGCGAAATGCTCATCTGCTCGGCTTTTTCCGTCGAATTTGCAAGCTGCTCTACCTCCGCACTAAACCAGTCTTTGTATTCGATGGAGGCACGCCGGCTCTCAAGCGCCGAACCGTGATTGCTCGCCGCCGTCAGAGAGAGAATGCTCAGGCCAAGATTCGCAAAACTGCCGAGAAATTACTCCTTAACCATGTCAGATTACTGGGCATATCTTTCTCTTATTAATTCTATCATTGTTTGAAAGAAAGATATTGTCTTTGCAATTTAGGGGTCAGGAAAAACAATCACATGATAGCATAGGAAGAGACAGTAAGAAAAATTGTTGGTCCAAACTCCAAATTTAATGAATATATGATATTGGTAGTCAAATATAGATTCGTGTAACATCCTGAACTGGATCGAGGCAAGACTTATCCGAGTTCATGATCTTAATTGGCAGCTCAAGGCAATGAGGTTGAAAGAACTGGCTGCAGACCTTGACAACCAGAGGGAAAAGAATGTGTCGAAGGGTAAAAGTGTTGTCTCTGAGGATACAGATACTGTGCAAGAAATGTCAGAGGGACACTGTGTTTCTGCAAATCTTGAGAAACAACAGAATGAGAGCGACCCAAAGGGTAAAAAAGTTGTTTTTGAGGAGTCTGATGCTCCGAAGAAGATTTCACAAGAAAATGCTTTTGCTTCCAATGGTTTCAGTAATCAGAATGAAGTTGATGAGATGTGAGTTACTGTTTAATTTAAATGAAATGTTGTGTAAATATGACTTTAAACATTCACACATCAATTTGACAAGTTAATTAAGGTTGGCAGCATCCATAGCAGCTGAAGAAGATGATAGTTTTTTCCCTGATGCATCTACATCTGCTGCCGGTGCCAATGAAGATGATGATGATGATGAAGATGAGGAGATGATACTTGTGCGTTTTTTATCACCACTATTTCTTTGTATGTTTATAGTTGTTCAAGTTACTAATCTAATGTTTAAGGACTGCTTCTATATTTCAGCTATAGAATTTTTGGTTTTGCGAAAGCACCTTAATTTTGATGTACAATTTAATCCCTTTCTAGCGAATCTTTGATGTCTCACAATTAAGTTCTATGTACATACTACGTAGTACGGAGTACAACTTAACCATAAATACACATAAAATACTTTCTCCATCCCAAAAGAAACACTCACTTGACAATGTGTGGTTGATTTTTTATTTAAGGGAGAGGGATACTAGACGAGCCCAAAAATGTGTCCCTTAAAAAGAAATGGGTAATATTTTTGGGACAGGTGAACAGAAAATGTGAAAATTATGAAGACAGGAGTATGCTTTCATGCTTATCTCTGTGAATTGTATATTCCAACAACTTTTATTTGCATGGGCTATACTTTAGTTTTTAATTTTCATATCATTATAAGATTGGATTATCACGTGACTAATTTGTTTTGTATGCAGCCTCCAATGCATGGAAAAATTGATCCCTCTATTTTAGCTGCTTTACCTCCATCTATGCAACTTGATCTCCTTGTTCAGGTAAAGTTACTTGTATATAATATATGAGAACAAGTGAATCATGAAGAGCAACATTCATAGTAGAGATTTTAATTTTTCGTGCCATATATTGATTCCCCTATTTTTTTGCTTTTGTACCCCATATATTAATCACCTGTTTTGCAGATGAGAGAGAGACTGATGGCAGAAAATAGGCAAAAGTATCAAAAAGTGAAGAAGGTGATGTATTCAGAAGTCAAGATCAATAGCTGTGCTCTTTCTGATAATGTCTTCTCATTAACATTTAGGCACTAAGCCTGTTGGTTTTCATGCTTTCTGGTTTCTACTTGTCCAAAAAAATCTAGTCAAGTGTACTCCAGCTCTGATAGAGTAAGGACGAAAGGGGATAAAGACTCAAGAAAAAAGATGGTTTATAAATTTGAAAAAAGAATGAAGAAACATATGTGTAGAAGAAGAAAAGAGTAGAAGGCATTCCCCAGCAAGATTAATTATCTCACCAACAGAGGACTGCCATCTAACTCTAAAGAGTCCCAATTCCATTTATCTCTCAATACCTCCTATTATAAGGAAACCACTATTTATAATTTATCACAATATGTAAAATAATCAGTTTTTCCATCATTTGCAATGGAGCCAAAGATTCATTATTTTTTGGCTCGAGATTATGATGGAATAAAGCAAAATGGCTCACTAAACTGTCTGCGCTTCTTTGTTATGGAGCAGCAGTCAGTCCATGCAATCTTGGACGCGATTTTCACTATGGGTCATCCGGAAACAGTCTCTCTGTGCTTTAGTACAGGGGTAAGACTGCGTACATCCGACCCCCCCTTACCCCACCGTAGGTGGGAGCCTTTGCGGCACTGGGGTAAATGAAAATGATGATGTAAAATAATCAGTTGTTTGAAAAATTAAAGAAGTGATTTTAAGTATCTAATTTTTAGAATTATGTCCTAAATCTGTGTAATTTATTGACTCCGTTTTTCTTGCTGATTTTCCTTTATTTCCTCCACCCCTATCAATTTTTCTAATGCTAATACATTGTGACAGTTCTTTCTAGTTTATAAGAATCGGAAAATGAGTGCAACGGCAACCTAAAATTTGTGCAGAATTAGAGTTTATTGATTGTATGGGTATATGCCAGAAAAGGAATTAGAAGTACTTCTCTGGCATGCACTAAAATGTTTCTGATATTATCATATGTTCGGTCAGGTAGGTGCTTGCACTTAAATGTATACTATTTTCCTTTCAATTTCTTAAACTACAAATAGTAAAGGATGCACTGCTAATCGTCTAATAAACACGACTCCCAATTTTCTTTTGAATAATTTTGCCCATATGGACACACTCATCATCAGGCACCAGAGAAGTTTTCAGAACTGCAAATACAGGCTTACCTCAAAACAGTTGCCTTCCGCCGTGAGATAGATGAAGTGCAAAAATCTGCTTCCGGGAAGGGGATAAGCGGTGTAAAGGTTTCACGTATTGCATCTGAGGCCAATAGAGAATTTATTTTCTCATCATCATTTACCGGAGATAAACAGTAAGTGGAGACATTTGCAACTACATTTATGAACAAGTGCATGATAGGCTCCTTTCATCTCATTATTTTGAAATATATCCTGCATACATTTTGCAATTTTCTTATGCTTTTTGGTTCACTGTATCTTCCACATATCTTCTTGCTCTTATTAAGTAACTTTATATGTACTGAATTGCATAATGGTGAATCAATCAGAGCCCTTGCATCTGCTGGAGAGAACCAAAATAAGAATGAGAATAACCTTATGGAAACACCAAGGGAAAACTGCTTAGCAACTATGGTAAAAAATGATACTCCTGCTCAGAAATCCAGTGTGGCACTAGAATCTTTTCTTGAAGAACCTGAAGGGATAATTCATGATGATGTTGAAACGTATTTGGATGAGAGGGGACGGGTTAGAGTCAGTAGAGTGAGAGCCATGGGGATCCGTATGACTCGTGATCTGCAAAGGAACCTAGATTTGATGAAAGAGGTTGAGCAGGAGAGGGTGGTCCATAATAAAAATGCTTCAGACTTGCCTAATGATTCTACTGTTAACAGAAATACTGCTACTCCACATGAAAAGACCAAGAATATGAACTCTTCTGACACAGATCATGGGCAGATGACTTGTGGTACTGTCGAAAATGAAGCATCTCTTTTGAAAACTGGAACTTCTCTTGAGATATCTTTTGAAGAGGAAAAAAGTCATAATGGTGGCGATGATGATCTATTTGATAGTTTAGTCAGAGGGACTCCAATATTAGATTTTTCTATAAGCAATTCTGCCTCAGGTTTTGAGTGGGAGGAAGGATACACTCAAGATAATTTGGGGGTGCCAAGTGGGAATTCTGCCTCAGATGTTGAGTGGGAGGAAGGAGACACTCAAGATTATTTGGGGATGCCAAATGGCCCAAATGATGACTTCCGCGAGGGGAGTGAACTTGCTCTGACAGAAGGCGGTGTGTTGAATGATGAGAGTGAAGTCGAATGGGAGGAAGGATCTTTAGATATTCATAAGGGTGGACTCTCGTTTTCATGTGAAGAGAGGAATGCTTCTAAAGGTGATTTGGATGAAGAAGCCAATTTTCAAGAAGCAATAAGGAGGAGTCTCCAGGATATAAAAGACCAAAGGTCAGTTGGAGAATCATCTACAGGTGCATCACAAAATATTATTGGAGACAGTACCAAGGGGACAATTCTGGAATCAGATTGGCAAGAAAAAAGTCATTCTCAACATAAACGGATGGAAATTGAAATTCTTCATCAGCCAGGCCTTCGTTCAGAATCTTTAACATATATCAAGGCAAATGGTACCACAGATGGCCTTGAGATCACAGAGCCAAATAATTCATTAAATACCCATTTGGATCCAGAATCTATAGATACTCTGAGGCAGAGGGAGATATTGAAAGGAAAAGCATATGATAATGCAGATCCCTGTAACCATGTAGAGACCCAGTTGGCAAGACCAGTTATAGAGAATA